CCGAACCGGGTAGTATCTGTGGTAAACTTTCTCCCACTCGCAGAAATGCCGATATCGCCTACAAACTTGCAAATAAGGGTGAAAGGAATCCAAACCGTACAAGGGAGACACTTACTACGTCTACATTTCTATATCACAAATACCCGGCACATCTTTTCTTTCCGTGTTTGTTGCTTGTTACTTTAGTCCCCATGCAAATTTCCGTTTATATTTATTGACTATACATATATTATATATAAATACTTAGTTTTTTTTTTTTTTTTGATTCTTTCAGGACAACGGTGAGGAATATAAGAAATTCCATCACGACCGAATATAATTGTCTTACTTGTTCTTATTTATGCATTCTATCCGTAACCTGCTTTGTTAATTTCAACAGAACAGTAAAATAAAATATTTCTAGTGAGCTTTATTTACAATTTTGAATCAATCGTTTTCCAAATACGGAGAAGTTTGTGTCTTCCCTAAATATTTTCTATTCTCTTAAAAAAAATTTTTTTTTCTTTTCGAAAATTTTTAAAATTATAAAAATTGTCAGTGAAAAATGTTCCGGGATTGTGGAAAATTTGTTGGCCTACGGTTCGCTTTCATACCAACACCGTTTCGACAAAGCACGGTAAGGCGTTCCTCTCGCAGAAACTGCCGTAAAGTTGCTGAGCCTAAATGCGATGTGAAGAAGCCAGATGTTTGTAAGAACAAAGAACTTAAACTAGATCAGAGACTCTATCTTACTAAGCCCAAAAATACAATATGGGATTATCCTTTTTGCTGTGCTAATTTCTGCGCCGATTTGTCAGTTCGTACGGATGAACTTTACTATAAAATAAGCGATATGAGAAGACGCGATTATCAACAAACATGGATATCTTGTCCCCCACTCCATATACTAAATGCCGAAGTGTGCCCGCCACAAAACTGTATTCCACGAAAAATAATACGAAGAAAAAAACGGGTAAGAGTGCAAGATGAAAAACAGAAAAAAACAGTACCTATAGTAGCCTGTCCACAACAACTAAAGAAATTTAAAATGATGGCGTGTCTAAAAACAGGAACGGAAGAGAACCGCTTATGCCCAAAAATTCCTCGTGAATTTCCGAAATGCGTAACTTTGCGCACAAAACCGCTTTGCAAAATTTTTCACCCTTTTCCCATTACTTGCAAAAAGGATCCTGCCCCATATCCATCATTCTCAGAGTGCAAGCGCGAAGAAGCGTCAGCTCCCAGGCCGATCGAATGCAAATGTTTAGAGAGGCCTGCCGCGTGTGAAGTGTGGGAAAAGTTTCGGCAGCGCCTTACTTTTAGACAACCAGACAAGAGCGATTAAAGGAAGTATTTCAAAGAGCGCTGTTGAAAGTTGAAAGCAAGTAGCTTCTCGAAACTTATTAAGCAATGAATATATGCAATAGGTCTCTCCAAATGTACACCATTCTTTTGGGAACACGCATTTCAGTTAAGCAGCTGACATTGATGAGGATAGTAACCGTTTCGATGTTATCACGAGTTGCAAGACTATGGAAAAAAGTTAGCTTTCATGTCTTTGGAAAAGCGATTCACACGCCGATAAGTACAGATTCTGTTTTAGCTTGAAATATTTCTAGTTATTTTTTGGAAGTTACACATTCTTGACATTCAAAGTTTCTGTTATCACTACAAAATTTTCAACAATTTTAGAAAAAATATAAACACCCAAATTTTTCTAAAACGCATTCTTCATTTCGCATCAAGTTAATGGTGGGTATAAAAGCCAAATATGTATATAATTCTGTAATAAATTAAATCAAAAATTCAATCCTCAGCAATATCTTGAAAGGTCAAGAAATGTTGCTTGTTACAAATCGATTAACGTTTAGAAAAAAGGAGCGAAATATATTTTTCAGGCTAAGCATATCGAGCGTTTTGTCTGAGATATATATGTTGCGGATCATTGCAAAATAGTTTTAAATCTTACAGCATGCGTATTAGCTTTTGGTAAACGTGTTGATTGAGCTGCGATTTATTTATTGATTTCTTTGTATATGAAAGAGGAATGGGTCAGGTCTTTAAATGATATACTCGAATTTTTGATACGAAATCTACTTAAGACCTTCACGTTGATAGCTACAATAAGGTTGATAACAGAGGAGAACGATAATGCAGATTATTATTGATCTATTGACGGCATAACGATGTTGACCTCTCTCCATCAATTGATATTCAAATTGTAATTGTCTATTCAGTACCTTCCATTGTAGCGTTTGGACCGGAAAATTGATATTAAGCTATGATTGTGTAGGAATTATTGATTTGTGGAATTGTAAAAATTTTTAAAAAAATTATTGGACAGGGCAAAAAGTTATAACTATGATAACTTAAAAGGAGAGGTGAGTTTTAATAAAGACATTTAGCAGGTTAAGATGAGTTTTATTGCGAGCACGAAAGACTTCATATAGGTTATTAAAACCACCAAAAATTGCAAATCAATATCTGGTGCTTCTGAATTCATTGCACATAAAAATACGGTGCTCAGCTGACTCTTTTGCCGCACTCATTACATATATCAGGTGATACACATCCATCCATCTTTAAATAAACTTTGTCCAAGTGCACATGAGCCTGTTGAGTATCTTAATCTCCCACATGGTAAAATTGGCATCAGAAGCAGATTTAAAGCCGACGAAAGAATGAATTTTATTGAGAAGACGGTTTCGTTATATCTTGCTATATACCGATATTGTCTTTCATATTGTCGCATTTCTCCTGTTACTCGAAATTGAATCTCAAAAAATTAAAAGGTCTTTCTAGTTCATCTTTAAAGTATTGAATTGTAATGTTAGGAGGAAAGTAGACAGACAGTATCATTATGTTACGCCTTAGACTGGTTGTTTTTATAATGACCATTTCAGCTGATGATTTCTACGGAATTTGTATGAAATTGATACATTTTTTGATGAATATGTTAACACCAGCACAACCATCAGGACGATATTTGAAGACAGACTTAAGACTTTGAGACTTTCAGATCTGATATATTTTCATAAGATAAAAAAATTTCACTAAGTGTGAAGAAATATATTTCTTTTGAATTTAGAAAAAAATCCAAAGTGGGTGCATTGCGCCTGAAGCTCTGAGTATTATATTGTAAAAGGGTAATTTGTTGTGGTTTAAGAGATTTAAGACCAACTTGGACCCAGACTGTTGGAGCAAATCATAAGACGTTCTGAAAGCCGGCATTGTTTCAATAAATTTTGTAAGATCAACTGAACCGTCAAGAGTAGGAAAAGTTTTGAAGATTTCTTTAACCAGTTTGTCAAATTCTGTAGTTTTGTGCCCATTTTCAAAGTTTCTTGTTTTTTTAGAAACAAGTGCACTATTATGACTTTTCAAATTTATCGGTTTCGTAGGAAGGGATTTATGTCTAAAAACCTGACTACAATTTTATTTTGACATCAACACGCGCATTTTGCATATTTTGTGGAGGAGAAGAATTTCCAATAAGAGGAAAATTTTCCTCATATTGTTATTGTCGTTAGAATCTCGACGATGCAACGTCGTCACCCATTTGATTAAAATATTAGATTTGCAATTATTTATCAAATCAATTTCATTTATAACTTATTGGAATCTTACAAATAATCCCAAATTTTTCGGTGATGCTCCTAGGAATATACTTGGTTTGCCCTTATCATTGCTTATGGTTTTTAGCTGTTTTAAACCGTTTAATTTGATATTCTTGTGATACATTCAAGGAAAAGAGTATCCGACGCCAGACGAATTTTTTCTCTATCAACATGTTCGCAATGCTCTATGAAAATGATAACAATCATTAGAATATTACTCATCATAATAATTGGATTAAGAATTTCTTCCCGTAATTGCCATTAGAACTAGAGATTTATTGTTTGAACTCGAAGCAAGATTTAGATAATTGTTGCTTTCTATGATTATTTCCTTGCTGCGGGAAGATGTGGAATCGTTTTCCGCTGCCATACCTTTATCACACAATTTCTCGACTACCGTTCCGGGACTTGTGGCCGCTCGCTTAATGGTTTATGTGTTAATAAAAGAATTAAAATCTTTTGCACTTAGTATCACTTTTCTAAACCTTAAAAACTTACAGGGCGGGCAGCTTTGAAGTTTCATGGTCGCTAAAAATAATAAAAAAAGGAGTTAGCTTACCAGAAATTAATTGATGGTTAAGTCAAAAGTTACTTATGCAAAACCGACAACTACGAAGTTAGATAGGTAAAATGGAAAAAAAGCCTTTTTAGCATAACTTGATTCTGTCTATATATTTCTCCTTAACTTTTCCGTTACGTTGGATTTGAATTCTTTTTTTTTTAACGTTCATCGTTCCACGACAAAAATATATGTTTTTTATTCTTGCGCGGCAAAATGTTTTGCACAGATTTCGTGTATTTCTTCTTTTATTTAATTGCATCGTTATTGAAACAATTCTTGAGAAAAAATTTTCAATTTTCTTTCAATTATTTAATTTAATATTTTTTTCTTTGCAAGAAAGAAAATTGCTATTTGTTTTGCAAACGAGACCTTTTTCCTTCTTCAATGTCGGTTTATTTTTCAATTTTTCTTATGGATAAATTCAAGAATTTGTTTTAACTTATATTTCTCGAGGAAACTGAAGAAATTGTTGAAAAGCTTAATGGTCAGTGTATGCACTCCCGATGACTTTAGTTTGTTAATTAATAATAATTATTATCACTCAGAATACAATTATACAATAATATTGGTTATTATAAGTAAAATTAAAATTCATGTGCGAGTAAGACTAGAGCGCCTCTTTCGGGACAATTGTGGACAATAATAATACGACAATATAGATAACATATTATTGTTATTATTATAATTTTAGACTAATGAAATAAATTCTTAGATAATTGACGGTTAATAAACGGATAGTGCTGATGATGGTATTGTAGATTTGCTTCTGTAATTGTCTCTTTAACTTTTCCTCCAATATTTCTTTGAAGATCCAACTTTCCACGACATCATCCATAATTAGAGGTGCAGAAGCAGCATATTTCGCCACTCGATTAGCCTGCGATATGACTACGTACCCATAACATTTTAATTTTTTTGCCGATTGTTGTAATGATATTCCTTAATTTGTTGATGGTATGGTGCTCCATCTCGAAGTCTAAGGGTTCCGAATAGCTTGTAATACACACAAACTGTCAGTAATAATGACGGTTTGAGTTTGAGGAAAGGTTCGCAGCGTGAAAGATAGCTCTGGCTTCACTTGTGAAAGTTGGAGTACATTCGTAAAATATGTGATTGACAAGAACATGTCCTGAAGTATTTACCACGGCACAAGAAGGAGGCAGTTCAGAGGATTTTGAGCCGTCTGTGTATAAAAGATTCCAACGGGTACTCTCCAGAACTTGGGGTTTTTCAGCTATTAAATTTCTGAAGACGTAATTTCGGGTATTATCATTCTTGCCCATAGACAGCGAAATGTGAAAAGCGCAGGCTTTCAAAATCCATGCAGGTTTAATACCAAAATAGCGGAAAACTTTTAAGGGAATGTTCAACTCTTTTGCGACGTACAAACAATAGCCAATTGCAAATGGTGACTTTCGAATTTTCTTTGAAATAATAATCTTTCTCACGTTGTAACGAGTTTTCTTGGGCGAGGTATAATTCAGTCACTCCAAGGTTCGTTGCAAGAAATTTTAAATAAAAATCTGGACCTTCGGGGGGGAATGGTGTACAATTTCCTTGATTTATTAGTTCCTTTTTACGGGAGAGAAGTACAGCGATGGGTAGAAGCTGGCTAAGGCAAGGAACCAGCGAGGTGACCCGACTTCTGGTGTGGCTTGCAAGTGATGAGAGATTAACTTCTTATATTATCAACAAAAATTTTCCTTTTGGATTATCGCGACGCGCTACAGAGAACGGAAACGTTGCCAGTGTCATAGCGGTCTTGCCTCTCAGGGCCGGCGGTTCGTCCCTGATTGGTGTGTGAGTGCAAAACTAACAAAAAAAAAGTCTCTCAGTTCTTCAGGGATGGCGATTAAAGCTGAACCAGCACATCCCCTATCCGTTAAGTCAAATATCCTGAAAGTCCTTCAGGGATGGCGATTAAAGCTGAACCAGCGCATC